TCGTTTGACTTAACCCTATCCTATTCTAGAAATGCTGGCCATGCTGTGTTATAGCTGTAGCTTTAGAATGCCAAGTTGTAGACAAGGACACGCACAAACCTGTCTCCTTATTTGAATAACTGAGATTGTGTGATCTAATGATCCTTTTTCCTCCTTTCCATTTAGTACAATTGCTTTCTGATAGCTTTAGAACTGAAGGGTATCATTGAAATGACTGGTTAGTGTGGACTGCTAGAAATTAGTCTTAAGGTGCTACATTGAGCTCTGTCTTGACTGTACAATTGGTTTAATAATTACATATTCTTCCAAAGTTCTTCCAGTAACTTCTTTTTTAGGGGGGTTGGAGGGGATGACAATATGTGAAATGCAAGGCACAGACTTTATAAAGAGATACTGCTTGCACTAAGTCCAGTATGTGTTATAGAGAAGTGCTTTGCTTTTTTTTTTTCTTTTTCTTTTTTTTTTTCAGGCAGAAAAGCAAATCCACCAGAAGTTTGAGCTTCCATCTCGGGTTTCATAGTTTGTGTCTCTTTCCACAGCTGAACTTCTTACTTGTTTGAAACTTAGTAGCTTCTGTTTCAAATACTATTGGTAACTGAAAGATGGGGTGCTTTATGGCTTAAATCTCCTCTTTTATACTTTGTCATCTTCATCCTCTGCCTCCACTTGTTGGTCATAAATGAGTCAAAAGGAAATTGCGTTGGCACTGGGTGGAGCTGAATACAATATTAGTTCCAGAGTCAAGTGTTGTGTCAATCTGAACAGTAAAGTAAGAGCGTGATCTTACAAGGTTTAGGATGCAAGCAGTCAGTACAACATGTGATATGGAAAAATGGGTTTGAGCTAGAGCAAAGTCAGGTCAGGTGAGTTTAGAGGTACTGGGAAGTCAAGTTCAGGCAGGATCAGAGCCCTAACTCAATCTGGGGCACACCTGCAACCAACAGGCATACTGGTCAGTGAAAAAGTGTGGGCTTTTATTACACCTTATAGTGTGGCAGATCAGTGTCCTAAAGCAGCTCCTAGCTTCATGGACTGGTGTTTTAGCTGAGGAGGAGGCAAAGACCGGTAACCAGGGAAGCTTTCTTAGATGGGAATTGAGTTTTTCTTCTCTGTTAGAAAACAGTAAGAGGAAGGTGAAGTGGCATCAAGACTGCTACTCAAAAGCAGTGGGGTGGGAGATCTAAGTGGGACCAGACAATAGATGGTGCTTCTGCTGCATGCTGTAAGAGATGTCTAGGTTAGCATTCTTAAAGCATTTTGGAGAATACATTGGTTTGTTTCCTTCCAAGATGTCTTAGCCAGACTACCTGATGATAGACCAGCACAGAGATGTCAAGCTACATCTATGCTGTATAGGTGTGTGTGTATATATAATGCATTACTGTGTGCTCTTGTATAGTTACTCCTTAACTCACCAAATGACAAAACAGTTTTCTTGGAGAAAGAAGGTGGATAGTATTTACGTTGGTCATTGCTCAAGTGTGGAGAGAGAGTCAGAAAAATGTTTGAGTGTACTGCAGTCTGGCTTTTGTCACGTCTTCAAAGATCTTAAAGCTTTTTGCTTAGGTGCTTCGGAGATGAAGAAGATTGGCTAACCAAGCTGTAATAGTGTATATCTGTGCTTTAATTATGTACCACCACTTAAAGCAGTGAAATTGTTTCCAGAGTGTTGTACAGCAATTCGATATTTAGGGCTGAACTTCCAAATCTGTATGCTGAAAGAAGCTTTGACTGGCGTTAAATTCCTGAATCCCTGTTTGAGAGCCAAAATGGAATTGCCAGTCTCTCACTAAACCCAAGTTGTTAGCTTTTTATTTCAGGATTTGGAATTTTCTTTCAGGAATTGTAGATCATTCAGTAAGAAAAAGTCATAAGTGACTCAAAACACAAGATAAAACAGGTATTTGGTACCTGCTGCTTAAGTTCTGTTACTTTTAAATTACTGTCAGCCTTCATTATTGACATCTCCATATTTAGTTGCTAACTTCAGACTGAAGAACTCGGCTTAAACTGTTCTTTTCAAGACAGTGAAATTGCTGCAGTTCACCCAGATTACTGTACTGGGATTTCCCCTACACCCACTACGTTTATGTCATTCTAGTGACACCTTTCAAAAAAAAAAAGGCATAACTGAATGTTTGTTTTAAAGAAATGACAGGTAATGTGGTTATAGGCTTAACTTGTCATGATTTTGAAAGATGCATTTCAGTACAGTTAGAGACAATCCTTTGTTCCTGTTCTTTGTAGAAAGGCTGGACAACTTAACAGGTTTGTGGATATAACTGAACATTTACAGTGGTGCCAAATAGGTTAAACTTGTGGTGCGAATGGTTCTGGTGGTCTATGTTGGCAAAAAATCCGTGCGGAGAAGGAAACATAGTTTTTAAAGTCAGGAGTAAAAGGTGTTCTATTAGGTGTGAAAATCACTGAAAAGTCTCAAAATTTACTGGTAACAGAAGCCTGTGGAGAGACCTGCTTTGCTGGACATCAGGTCAATTATTTCCTTACGGCTTTCTCCTTATGTTTCTGTTGTTTGCTTAAGGTGCAAGGAACAGTTTAGATAAAGTTGAAAGATTGCTCATTATGTGTTTGCAAGAAGAAAATGGAATAGGACCTGGCCTCTTCACATTGTCAGAAGACTGAGAAGTCAAGTTGAACAGTGATGAGAAAGATGGACACTAACATCGAGGTGCTCTAATGTCTATGTAAATCATCTTAGCATTTTGTGCTAAACACCTAACAGATGGTGTGACTCCAGAGATGCTGTGAGATTACTGCTGATGAGAAGGGTCCTTTTTTCTTTACTTCTGCTGCTTACCTTGTACAAGCACCTGTGTTAGATTCCATGCACTTCCCCTCTCCCCCAGTCCCCAAATTACTCCTCAGTTGAGGATGTTGTCATCTTTCTGTGGGGGCGGGAGAGGGGAGAAAACAGGTAACTCAATCTGATAAGTGCTAGAGCCCGTGCAGGAAAGGAACTGAGACCTTCCTGCCAGGGCAGTGGTAACAGTCCTGTTAGCTCAGTTGCTAGCAGGATTGAGAGGTGTGTTTTCTTGAGCAGTGTGACCCAAAGAAATGTCCCAAAATCTGTGGCCTTGTTTTGGTTTTGCTGGGTTAGTTTTCAACAAAGATGAGCAAGCAGATCCGCCAGACTGCTGTAGGCATTCACACTAGCTAGTGTGGAACAGATCTAGCTTGTGGGAGAGGAATGGTCTCAAAAGAATATTGTAGTTGTCTCCAGTTATTAATGAAACTACAGTCATTATAATTGGGTCAGATATCTAATAAACTTTCAGACTTAAGTGGGGATTTTTTTTTTTTAAACTGACTTCTGGGATCCTGCTGTTCTTTTTGAGAAATGTTTGTTTGCTGGGATGAGGTTGGTTTAATTTTCTTATACAAGTCTTTCTGTGATTCCTTGTTTAGCATTTAAGTGTTTCAGAATGAGAAAATGCATGCTATCTCCTCTTAGATAATTGTTTCTTATCAATAGTAACTGTTAGCTCTACTATAGTAGGGTTTATTCAATATTTCTTTATGGGAGCACAGTAATGAGACAGAGGAAATACTGTATCTGATGGTTTGCAGCATCTTATTGTAGCTGCATTGAGTTGATAGTTTGAAAATGGCCACCGTGTTAAAAAAAAGTTAATTAAGCCCTTTTATCAAACCCTGCTTAGTAACCTGGATTGTGGTGTCATGGTTGTACTTTCTGCATATAGATCAAGCTTTGGGCCAGTAGATACAAACTTTGGATGTTATTTCAAGTAGATGGCAATACAAATAAAGAGATACTGTTGCCTAAGAAATTTCCTTTTTTTGTTTTTTGTTCTGTTAGCATGCTGATGCTTCCAGTTCTTCAGAGGAGACTGGGGACATTTCATGCATGTCAGCTCATGTGAACAAAATCATTTGCATGTGTGTATATATATGAAATTACAAAAACTTGTGACATGAAATAGGTTTGGGGGATGGATGAGGAGAGGATGTAGTAGCTGTGAAATTTGACACATTTTTAGAATTACTGTATCAGTACCATAGGTAACTAACACTAGGAGCTGTTTACCCCATAAACCTCTCCAATACTGTGAATGTAGTGGCTGTAAAACTGCAAGCTCTTTAGGTATCTACGTGGCTCTTGGGAATATTTGGTTTGGTCTGTTGTTGCAAAACATATAGTGCATGCAACTTCTTGTGAGTGAATGAGAGATCCTGAGAAACCTGTGAAATACCTTAATGTTTGCTGTGACTATAGCTGAGGGGTGATATGGACTTGTTGGCATCACTAGAAGAGATTTTGTAAGTTTCTCGAAAATGTTATGAGATTAACATCCCTCACTAGATGGTATGCTGTAATCAAAGTAATTGGCCTATCAATTGGAGTAAATTAATTTCTATGCCTGATTCCTCCTTGCCATAAATAAAAATTAATCCATCCAGACACCTCTGTGAAAGTGATGTGCGGATGTGGGTGTGAGCAGTTCTTCCAGATACTTGTGCACTTTCGTTGAAATATCTGTGATATTTTGGCAAGATCATGATACTGGAGTCTTTATTACAGAGAGTCTTAACCTGTTATTGCCTTTTCCGTAAAATACTGTTTCATGGGATAAAAAAAAAAAAAATCTCCATTTTAAAAACTTTCCAAGTCTGAACTATCTTAACTATGAAATTAGGTTAGATAACACATGAATAATGGCAGTTCTTTAAGTGGTAACAAGAAAACGTTGGAGTTACTTTATTTGTGCTAGATGAAAAAGTAGCATCGTTCAGCAGTTAGTGCCTTGAATCAATGTCCATAGTTTCTATATTGTGTGATAATTAAAGTGACATCCTGCTTAGGTTATGCGTGGTTATAATGGTGTATTTCCTGCATTTATCAGTTGATATCAATGTTTAACTGTTCATGTCTTGTTATATATGCAGTCTTACAGTGGCTGTAGTAATGCTAAAATAGTTGTCCTGTTGATCAAAGGGGTGAATAATTTATTGTGTGTTTTAGGTACTAAGGGTGATTTATCTCTTGCATCATGCGTGAATACAAGCTAGTGGTTCTTGGTTCTGGAGGTGTTGGAAAGTCTGCTCTGGTAAGTACTCCGAGGCAGTCCAAGTATGTTTTCTTAGGCTTCTCATGTCTTCTTTTTTTCTCTAATACACTCTCTACTAACCCATATTTCTTTTCTGTAAGTGTGCACAAATAAACATAAATGTAAGTAATGACTGCTGAGGGTTCCTGCCTGGGATAGGCACGTCCCTTACTGGGTGTATCCACATCCATTGCTGTGCTCTCACATGCTAATATTTTTGTACAGGGGTGGTTGATGGTGCTTGATAAGATCTTTGCCTGTCTTGCTGTGGCTATGCACTTCACTGTGTGTTATGAAGGTATCTGGCTTCACAGGGTAACCCAGCCATAGGTCTGTATGAAATCAAGCTGCTTCATGAAGCTCACACAATGAATGAGTTTGCCTGTGTCTGGCCTTGGTAAATCCTCTCTCCAGAAAGGTCTTCAGGGTGCTGTTTGCTTAATGTTTGATGGCAATCTCTAAAGCACTAGCATTTTTTTATGCAAATACAAATATATATTTGCACATTTGTAGGAATTTTAACATGTTTTCTACATCTTTCCCTGCAAGTAGATGTATAGCTGCAGCAGTTGATTGTAAACCAAAGGGCTCATGCATTTTAGTTAAACGATTGCAGAAAAGTTTAGTCTGACCTAGACTAGCACTGAAAAAGTTCACAGAATATGTTCTTGGACCACCTAAGAACTTTACATCTTTCAATTTAATTGAGCACCTTATCATAAAGTAAGGTCTAGAGGTCCACTCTGTCAGGTAAGAACTAATCTCTTGCAAAGCAGTTCCTAAAGGAAAACTTAAATGACAAATCATGTTAGATTGTAAAAGAACTTTTTCCTTCACCTCTGAATTCTTTATCTTGCTGCAGCATTTCTGGATTTGAACCTGTCTGCTCTGACTTGGCCATTGAGTCTTAAAGTTCCATTTGACTTGTGCTAAAAACGTCCTACGTGCTAGGTACACAGGAATATCCTACTGAGTCTAGTTAAGACTAGTAAATGCTGGCAGTTGTTTTTTGACTAATTCCTGTGCTAGCAGATAAGTAGCAGAAAATGCAGTAGTTCTAAATGCAAATGTAAGAGCCATGCAGCTGTATAGCATCCTATTCAACTAAAAACTAATAATGATTCCAAGAGTTAGACAAGCCTTAAATCAATGCATGCCTTAATTCTTACACTCCAAGTGAGAGTGGATAAAGGAAGGGGTAGCATTGCTTCATCTAACAGTATGTAGTAAAGTAGGCATGTACATCTAACTTCCTGTTTTTTTCTTATCATTTATAGTTATGTCAATCACTTAATTTGCCTTCAAAAATGTAATGGATAACTGATATATACCTAGAACAGTAATTTGTGTACAGTGTTTACAAGATGTCACAATACAAGAAGAATCTTACAAGAACTTTTGTGTTGCAGACTGTACAGTTTGTTCAAGGAATATTTGTTGAAAAATACGATCCTACGATAGAAGACTCCTACAGAAAGGTATGCAAAATACCTCTCTATTGTTACAGAAACTTAAATATTTGACAGTATGTACTGCAGTTTTGAGTCATTGCTTGAAAAAGGGTATACCTGGTAATACCACATAATACCAGGTAACTTAACAAGTTTGAAATGTAAAGGTGCTCTTAAAGTCTGCCTAAAAGGAATAATTCAATACTACCTTTTCGGTGCTTTTAAGCATAATACCTTACTAGCTAGGCAGTAAAAAATGGTAATTTTATTGTCAAAATTGGGAACATTGATTTTACAAATAAAAAAAGTAAAATACACTGCCACTTTTTAAGTAACATTTTTTTAGTAGTTTCTCTGTGTGTTGTTAGTATCTTCAGGTAGATTTGGACTTGTATGTTGGAGGTCTAAACTTATTTGCTACTTAAGAAAATCTGCTAAAAACAACTTCGTGCTCACCTTCAGAACACTGGCAGCATCATACTGTATTCGTAACAATTTAACCGATAGCTTGATATGCTTCCATTAGATGGGCTGTTGTTTTATTAATAAGTTAACACAAACCTATCATAAATGAACAAACACTTACAGCGGCCTGTTAGTGTCTCTCTTCCCATCTTCAGCATGAGACGCCGAAAGGTCTGACTCTGCCTGCATCATCTTGAATCTCCATATTGCTCACTCTTCAGTTTCAGCCGAGACCATGATTAATATTCCAGGCTAAGATAGCTTACATCTGGACTGCTACCAAAAGAGTTAACCATTTGGTGAAGCAGATTAGTTTTCAGCTGTGTCAGTTCCTTAATCTATCTTTCTTTTTTTAGCTGAATTACTTTTCAGATGCACTGGTACTCTCTGACGTAGCTCACCATGTCGCCACAAAAATGCAAGTGTCTATACAAGGGAGGCAAGATGCACAAACCCTAGCTGGGAATGGGCAAAAACTGCAGGACCTCCTCTTTCAGCACTGGACTACATTTATATTGGAATAAAGAGGCTGCATTAACAGCCACTGCAGCCTATAGTCACTGGAATCTCTTCTGAACAGAAGAAGAATTAGTGAGAGAAAAATTGTAATTTCACACTCATTTTCTTTGACCTCATAGAAATCTGTATGCTGGAAAAATCCTAGTCTGTCTTAAACGTGTGGGCTTCCAGCCAAAGCTAGAACTCAAACTGCAACAAAACATTCTATTATAACCACTTACTTTTTCTGCATTAGAGGAGCAGGAATTTTGGACCCTATCCTGATGTTTGGTGTAGGCCTTTGCTGGGTCAGGCCCAATAAATGACTCCAGAAATATTCACAAGCTGTACTAAAGTGAAATATTTCCTTTTTTATATATTTACATTCTTCAGGTTATACTAGATTCATGATGTTTGCTGGGTGAATTCTTTTCCAAAGACTGTTTCCATGGAGCCTGAAAAAGTAAAGCCATCTTAAAAAATCTTGCCTTTTGCTAATTATTTTTTCCTTTTTTTTTTTTTTTTAAGCAAAGGTCTTAAAATGTTTCTTTCAGGTTTTGGTCCTGAAATGACAAGGAATATTTGCTTTTCAAATCAATCAGATTGTTGAAGTCTTGCTTAAGTATGGGCAACGCTTTATGCAGTCATTTTCTTCCCCTCACTGCTAGTTACAATTCTAACTTGCTTCATGACATGAGTGACTATAAAATGTATTGGTTTGGCAGTTGCAATTCTATACTTATAATGTTAAATCTAATTTTAAAATATTTGAAGTTAAGAGGATGTGGCTTGACTTTTTTTTTGTCTGGAACTAAATAATTGAGCATGAAGTCTTGAAACTTGATGCCTTGGTTTACGCCCCAAATACTACTTCATAAAGAGAACAGATGCTGTTTAATTATCTGAATAACTTTGTCAGCAATACATGCTAAAATAGTGGTTATTGAATGAATCTACATCCCTAGGGGACATGGGGGAGGTGTGACAGGAGTGGAAACACTCCTCTTCCTCACCCTCCAAGCTCCAATCTAGTTACAAAAGAAAATCTCAAAGTTAAACTAGTGATAGTCATATGTTGGGAACAGGGGACACAAAGTTCTTTCTGAGTGCTGATCTGCCAACTAGGAATTTTACATGCAAATGGAGACAAGGGAAGTGTACCAAGAGCTTGAAAGGAGGAGGAAAAAAAAATAAATGTGGGTAGCTTGCTTCAGACAGCTTGAGGGCGCTTCCATGTTCTTGATGCCCTCAAGGCTTTTTTTTTTTTGTTAGGTAGAAACTAGATAGAGAAACTCTGAAATGATACAGAAACTGATCTGGCTTCTTAAACCTTCTGCTTTTGCAATTTTTTCTAAGCTGGATCAGTTTCCTAATTAGTGTCACTAGGGACTTGTTTTGGGGACACCACTCTTACCTGTTTGCTTAGTTTATTGTTTGCTATGTACTACTTATTGTCTTGTTGATCTAAATTACTATTAAATGAGCATTAGTATGCCAATCTTTCTAGCTTTCTAGCTTTCACCTGTACCTTTCAATCTGTAAATGATCCCTGAAACTAGTAGAAGTTAGTTGTCCTAGCTGCTGATAACCATCATTACAAATTTAGCAGCCTCCTTTTTAATAATCAAAAAATCCTTAATCACTTTGCAAAGTGGTACTTGGCTGCTGACGCTGCTATTGAAAATGTCACTAGGGTTCTTTGAAAGGCTTCTTCCTGCTGTTTTCAAAGTGTATATCCATATAAACTTCTTAAGCCATTATGTTGCTTTATGCATTATTAATTCGCTTATAAGATCACACAATTCCTGGTGTCTTCAGAGGGGGGAGCTGCAAAGGGAAAAACTCTAACCACATCTTTCTCTTTTGACAGCAAGTTGAAGTAGATGCACAACAGTGTATGCTTGAAATCTTAGATACTGCAGGAACGGTATGTAAAACCAACTTCCCTAAATACTGATGTACAGTGTTAGTACCATCAAAAGCTGTAGGGATGTAAATGATGACACATTTCCTTCCTCATTCTCTTAAAGAGTAACTGTGGTCAGTCCATTGGATTAAAGGATGTTCTTTAACATATTAGTATTTAAACAAAACTTGAGTATTGCAGAAGATGAATTGCAAGTTTCCTGTGAGCTCGTGTTCTGTAACAGGGGAGACATGAGATTGAGAATATTAAGAGGTTGTGCTGCTCTTTTAAGTTGATACTGCCCAGAGGAAAATTTAGGCCCGATGGTTACTCAGGTTTGATTCTCTGTAGAGCATACACGCTTTCTTCTCCTCTCCTTTTTCTTTTGTGTGAGATGTACTCTGACATTGGGATAAAAATAGTATTGCTTTAGTCAGCTTATGTGAACTCAAAGCACAGGGTTTATGCTGACCCTTTGCATACTGGTCAGGTTTTTCTCTGACTTGTTCCAAAATCTACTGAAAGCAGTCATTTCCTTCACTGATTCCAGGAAGCATAAGCTCAAGACCCTTGGAGTGTAGCATGTGTTCTCTGAACTATAATAGTAAGCTGGTCCAATAATAATTTATTTAAATTCCATATTAGAGTGAGGCCATGTAAAACTACAGGAAGATCGAGTGGCTGTTTTGTCCAAATACATTGTGCTTTTCATCTGACATACAGCAAGGGACTCGGTGAGTGATTGACTGGTCACAAGATAGCAGAGTCACCAATGCGAGAAAGGCAGATGCTGTTCCATAGTCATACTGGTGAGAGTTTTCAAATGGGGAGAAGTCCTAATGCTGCTGTGCAGTGCACCAGTGAGTCTGCCATATCGTAGTTGTCACTGTGATCTAGGAAATGTGACGAGTCTGAGTGTCTCCATTCTCTAGTCAATCTCCTTGAAAATTAAAGTAGAATTTAACATAGTAAAGTGCCTAGACTATATGAAATGGAGGCTGAAAAGGGATGCATTTACTTTACCACGTGTTTTGAAGAATGGTCAGGAGAGGGGAAAAAGTTGGTATGTAAGGGAAGGGTTTGAGAGTTATGTAAGTTCTGTAATCTACAGATTACACTGTACATTCTACTGTATCTCCTCTCTTTAGAAATTACTTTAGTTTCTGTGATTTCCCACCTCCTCCAGGATATCACTCTTGGCAATATCTAGATATTGTTCAGCTGCCCCAGACAATGTTCTAAACCAGATTTATTTAGTAGTTCAGTTTATAGTCAACCAGTAAAATAACGGCTGGTTTAAAAAGGGGGGGGGGCATAAATGCATCATACTTGTGATCCTTTTGTGACCTGAAGTATATGGCAGTTTGTGTAATGAAAGTGCAAACTGAATGCAACATATGTTTTGTGGGTTTTTTTTTTACTTACAGGAACAGTTTACAGCAATGAGAGACCTATACATGAAAAATGGACAAGGTTTTGCATTAGTATATTCCATCACAGCACAGTCCACGTTTAATGATTTACAGGATCTAAGAGAACAGATTCTTCGAGTCAAAGACACTGATGATGTAAGCATCTCTAAAAATCCATAATACTTAAATTTACAGATTTCATTACAGATGTTGTAATGTATACACTGATTGGATAGCTTCTAAGCTTTAAATTAAGAGACGAATCAACCAGTAGATGCATAGTACAGAAATGTGACTCTTAAGGCAAACTAGAGAAATTGTAAATTGTCATGTGGTATATAAAGAAAATTCTTTTTAATCTCTTCCTTTAAAATACTCTTCTTTGAAACTGTATATAACTTTATTCACTAGTACTGCGGAAAACATTTCTAAAGCAACTCTATTCTTACCTCAATTACTATCAATGAAGGTTAAAAAAAAAACAACAAAACTACAGTTCAGTTCTTTCCAATATGCCTACTGTTTATGGTATTTTAAAAGCACAAAATTGTAAGTTCTTATGGAAGACAATACTGTAAGCTTTAAACTTGCATGTTATGTAGCTTTTATATTTTGTGTGTGTGCTTGCAAGTAAGTTTGGTCATACCATTTCCACACAATTTCAATACCCATCTCTTAACATTACTAAAGCTATAAACTGTAAAATTTATTAAAAAAAAATACTGTGGTTGTAGGAAGTGAATACTTAGTAGTCCCTTAATAAAAGGAAGAAAGGTTTTTCAAATGTGAAACAGCAGTAAAAGTGTGTTTTTTAACAGAAACGGGATTAAATGATCAAAATATTGTAAACCTTTTTTCAACACTTGAATTTGGTAGAAACTTAACTATGTCCTTAAATTAATAAAAGGAAGGGAAAAAACCCCACTTTGTATGATTGCCTTTTCTTGCCACGAGGTCAATTCAGTGTTTTCTGTAGTTAGTAAGTTTGATAAACTAGCATGTTTCTTTCCTCTGTGTGCATCAGCTTACTAATGAGGACTGTGTGAACAAACTGCTCTTGAAAGGAGTGCAGATACACTAGGAGCAGAGGAATGACGAAAGGAGCTTTAGCATTCTTCATCATGTTACCCAGTACAGGCCACTTTTCCAGGATTTCTGAACATGTAAAAATCTTGCAGCAGATTCTTCAGTAGACTTCTTGATACCTTAAATATCTAAGAATGAAATCTCATTAGGTCTTCTAGAAGATGTGAGATTTTCTCAATTAGCAGTGTACAGAATCCTCGAACCATTCCACCCTGCCAAACATCAGGCAAAAAATGCAGTCACTTTGATTTGAAGGTTAAAGTCTCCCACAACTAGAAACTTAAGTTTCTTTTATACCAGAGCTTGATTATTCTGGAGGTCAGGATTCTGTAAGGATTCAGGTAGAGATTTAAGTGTGCGTTTACATTGTGCCTTCCCAAATTTTTAATGAATTCTTTGCTGGTATTAAATTGGTTTTAGGTGCCTATGATTCTGGTTGGCAATAAGTGTGACTTGGAAGATGAAAGAGTTGTGGGAAAGGAACAAGGTCAGAACCTAGCAAGGCAATGGAATAACTGTGCATTCTTAGAGTCTTCTGCAAAATCAAAGATAAATGTTAATGAGGTAAGGCACACTACCTATGGGGGGAGGGGTGGCAGGGAGAGAAGGATGGGACACTGTTCTGGTAACCAAACATTACTGTTTCTCAAGAAAAACTAACAAAATGACTAATAACATTCACTATAATGGACAAAACTGTATCCTACTATTGTGAGAATTTTTGAGGTGTTTGCATTAAGGGATGTACTTAGCTTTGACTTAGGACTTTTTCAAATTGCATCAATTTTAGTATAATTACTTTTAAATTATATTCATATGAATTTGGGATAAATACTTTTTTGTTACATTCCCTAGTTGATATAATCTCTACCCACTGAGAACATACTGCTAGACTACTTTAAAAAAAAAATATTTAAGAGAGTTAAGTCCTTAAAACGAATTGATTTAAGTTATTTGGTATTAAATTATTTGAGATAGTAAGGACAAAAACTCATAAGGGTTTTGTCCAAATTAGCAGCTCATCAGAGAAGAGACCTAAATAAGTACTCTGTAGAGAAAAAGGAAAGCAAAAACCTCTCTACTATCTAGTTAGTTAGCTATTTAGCAGGAGCTAGGTGACTGATCAAATGTACATTTTTGGGACCTGCCATAGTGCATGCCTTCTTAACCAATGTGTGTGCCAGCAGAAAGAAGGGGATACAAAAATTTTTAGAAGAAGCAGCTGTGTTGGTGTTTACATTTCTGGAACAGCTTGAATATTATGATAAACCCTGCAATTCATTGTGTCTTCTAGAAAACATTGTTGGCTGCATCAGTCGAGTTGATAGGGCCGCTGTGCAAGACTTGCATGTAATCAAATAAGTACGGTGGTTTTAAGCACAGCTGATTTTAAAAATGAGTAATGAGTGTTTAATGAGTTGGGAATTTCTGGAAACTTTTCAGTTTTTCTGAAATGCAAATTAATCAGCTGAGCTATATAGAAGTCTTACGTTTAATAAAGTAGAACTTATTTCCATCAAATACTAAAAGCCATTGTTAGAATGTTTGCTGCATTGCAGCCAGTGCTTAGGAAACTGCTAGGATGGCTTTAGTATGAGGACTTCCGTGATTTAGGGGATGCAGAAATAATTGGAACAATGTCAATTATGAACAAAACAGATGCTGTTTAATTGTAGAACGTAGACTTGTCTTAAATTAGCCTTTCAACAAAATCATGTTCTAATTAGAATTCTAGGAGACTCAAAGTGTGAAGGAGTCTTATACATGAGTTACTTTCCTAGAAAATGTTACGCTTCTGTCATGCTGTAGTCCTAGAGAGGCTGCTGAATTAATTCTCTAGACTTTAGTATTTTTAAAGTATCTGGAAAAGCATGATCTCATTCAAATACTGAATATGCAGTGTAATTGAGTTAACATGAAAATTTGTAGTTAAAACTTATTAGAACTTTCTTTAAAAGAATATCCTTAGACTGATTAGAGTTAGAAGAAAGCTGTGGCCTGTTTCTTAACCTCATTGCTAAATTGAAAGTAATAGCATATAGTAGTTGATCACTGTGGCATATATCATGCATGTTCAGATAAATCTGACCCAGTGATTACACAGCTGCAATTACAGATGCCTTTCCAGTTTGCTTCATTGAAAGTGGAAAATCCTTAGCAGACTATTATCTCAAACAGGAAAAAAAAAACCAACCAGGTATTAATAAAGTATACAATTCAACTTCCTGGCTTTGTGTTAACTAAATATTTACAGAGGTTCTTGAGTATGCAAGTACATTATGTGTGAAGATTGAAGGCTAAGGTTATGAGAGAAGCCTCTTAATTCCAATAACCAACTGATTTTTATATTCTCAGATCTTTTATGACCTTGTGCGACAAATTAACAGAAAAACTCCAGTGCCTGGAAAAGCACGCAAAAAGTCATCATGTCAGCTACTTTAATACATAGCTGTACTGTAGCTCTGAGCCAGGTAAATGTTTTAAAATTTTCTGTGTATTATGGCTATTAAAAACAAACAAAACAATAACAAAAAAAACCCTAAACAACTGTGGTGGCTGTTGATGCAGAACAGCATTAAAAAATCTTGATTTACGTTATCATAGAAATTTTTATGGTCTTTATTTTGGTATTCCAAAGTCAGAACCACAAATATGTGCAAGATACACTTCACACTAGTGTCATTTTTTTTTTTCAAGCTTTAAGGGGTTGGTGGAGCTCAAATTAAGGGTGTTCATTCTGATACTCCAAAACTTTAACTTTAACAGGGTTTTCTTTTTTAAAGGCTGATAGAATATACCGCAAGAGCTCAATTATCAGGAATGCACACTGTAAAATATTGCAGTTTACATGCTAAAATGTCACTTTCTGCTTTGAACTCCTGCATATATTTGCATGATGTCATAGGAATTTAGCTTGCTTTCTTTGGACTATATGTATATTTTGAAGGCTGTGTTGTATTTAGTACATTTGGAAGAGAATGGTGAAGGGATCATTGTAACACTCCAAATATTTGACCTGGAGCTATTGGTTACTAGATCAATTTCTGACTTGTTGGCAGTTGGCTAATGTTCTACATGACTAAATCCACGCTTTAAGAATGCTGCTGAAGGCTCAAGCAAGCTCCAGCTTGCTGTTTAGCAAGCCTTTTTAGAAGTTAGTCAGCAGGCATGATTTTTTTTCTGCAACTTGTTCTGGGGGAGGTTGTTTCCCCCTTTCCACTTCTAAGCGTTAGTATGGGCAGAGGTCTGTCTTGATTGACCTGACATTATGCAGGTTGTCCGTTCATCTTGATTCCGTTCAATTTTACTGGACTTAGAGTGGTTCAGTTGCTTCATCGCTATGATCCATTATTATATCGTATTATATCTGATAGACCTATTTGAGATACTGGAGGATTCTGGCAGGACACTTCACTGTCATAAATCGCAGGCTTTTATTAATATTCAGATAGTGCCATGTTTAACTCTTTTTGATACCGATATTAAAACTTACCTAATTTGAACAACTTGAATCAGTTCAAAGTAAAACTGAGAGGGTTCCAAAAGCATTAGCTGAAGATGGTAGAAATGGGTGCTGCATTTCCTTAACAGGGCTTTTGATTCAGGAGCTTTGATCCTCCAAATGTGTTTTTGCTTTTAAAGCCATTGGAACGGTCATACTGTAAGCAAAACTGGTCCCACCCATCAAATACTACTACCACAGTTCAGCTTGGATTACCATGTGTATCCCAATTCAGTTTTACTAATTGAGATAGTCTGTTATTTGTATCTGTACAGTAAAATTATATTAGTAGAGGAGAAGTGATAAGGTTATTTTCTCAGTTTGTTTGCTAAGAACTTGGCTAGTTCCTGCTTTAGTTCTTTTTAACTAAAGAGGCATGACAAACAGTTGTTACTAGTACTAACCTCCTGTTTTGTTTTTACAGGTCTGAAGAACTGTTGCCCAATTCAACAGTGCCAGCATTCCAACTTTATTAAACCTACCAACATCTTAAATGGACTTTCCTGTGGTGGTACCCTTTAAGAAATGGATGAAAGCTACTACATCAGTTTGCACATTCTAATCACTTTCCAGTGTCACGAGAGATTTTTACTTATAAATATTCTAAGTGTATGCAACTGGTAAAACCAGAGCCTACATCCAGTATTACTGATAAGAGACATTGTTCATCCACCAATGTTGTACATGTATGAAAACTCTGTACTGTATACTTCAACAATCCCCACTTTCTATTGGAGAGTACAATAATGTAAATCCTAAAAGCACCACTATTTTAGCATAATAAAAGAAAGTCCAAAGAGCTCCTATATAGACTACTCCAGATAACTTTGCTTCATCGGTATTTGTAGCTTATTGTAACTTTTTTAAAGAAATACAGGATCATCATCATCGTATTGTACAAAAGCGCTTTGATTAACACAACAGCTATCTAGTTTTTTAATTTTAGGAAAAACCTGTGGAGACAGTGATCTAGTCTTTAAGAGTCCTTTCAGTATAACGTCTGACTAAAGACATGGCCTTTAATATCTGTTGGGAAGGAAATGTCCAGACTTTTCAACCTTTTATTGTATGTTTCCTTTTCCTTGTTTACATAGGGAACAATGTTTATAGTTGTGTGTACAGTGGGGGTCTACAACAAGAAGTGTATATTTTAAAACGATTTTTTAATGATTTAACAATTTTTTGTAAATCATTTTTGGGCTTCTGCAGCTGTAGATTCTCACTGTGAATTCCCTTGCTTGCTCATGCATAAGTGTATTTGCAATACCAAATATACCGGTTTAGTACTTTTGCCTGTTAGTGATTGTTTTACATGTGTAACGTTTTGGTTGAGATGTTAAATGGTGGAAGAGTACTGTGGATGTGAATGTGGGAAGTAATTTTAATCATGTGTAATTGGTCACAGGGCCTAAGTTGCAGTAATTAACTTTTGCTGATTTATTTAACAATGCCTTGTTGCTTTGTATGCATTAACGTTTGGGTGTAAAGATTGTGTGTATATCCAACAGGGAGCCACAGTATTTAAATTGACCAACCTAATGTTACAACTGCTTTGAGGTGGCCAAATGTAAACTAAAAGCCTTAATTAAAGTGGTGCAATTTTGTATGACTTAGCATCAGTAGTTCAATAAATTTGGATTGCCATGCAAGGGCTTGCATTACGGTTATATACTACTTGAATGTTTTGTGTTTTAGTAGTGCTAGTTAATATTGATTTTTTTTTTTATTTTTTTTATCTCTTGCACAGTGCAGATTGACACATCTTAGAACGAAAAGGAACCATTATGTCTGTCTTCTGACAAATACATGCAGTGGATATTTCTTCTAATAGCATCCAGTGTGCTAGGGTGGATGAATTTCTGACTGAATGAAACTCCACTTACAGTTTTGGACTTGGAATATTCCAAGTTCTAATGTAAGGGAGAGTCTAACAGACATATCTGTCTTCAAAGGTTAGACTGTCAGTGGATGTTTTGGGAACTTGAAAATATGTTGCCTGCTATTTTGCTTCTTTCCAGGAAGAATTCGTTGTTAAAATTGACTTAGTGTAGGAAAAAAAAAAAAAAAAACCAAACAAAAAAAACCAAACCAAATCTCTTGGGAGAAAATATTATTTTTCTGCATGACTAAACCATATTTGCTTGGTTTCAAGGAAATCTGCAGAAGAGCATTCTTGCAGTATTGAGTATAGAGTTTTGCAGACTTTAAATATCGGTTAACGCTGTTGGACTGTGAAGTGGAATGCATGGACTGTGGATGATTTCCTGATCTTGGCTGTGCTGCTGAAAATGAATGTCACACCCAAATACTTGGTACCTCCTGTTTCTCTGGCGCAGAATTATCGGAGCTTGTTCTAATCCATTCCTGCAAATTCAATTAGATTAGGTTAGCTAATACCGGTAAGCTTCGAGATAGTTTACGTTGCCCAAAGTGAATTAAGGAGCCCAGCTGATCCTTCCTGCTGGTAATTTCATCAGTCATCGCCATTGTTTAATGGAGGTAATTCGCTCTTTCACTGTGCAGAGTCAGAGTTAAGACTGAAATTCCTTTTCGTTTATCATTGGAAACCAGAACATGTGGTTGATGATCCCCATAAATATCTCTCAGTACTCTCTGCGTCCTGATTGGTCCCCAGAGTAGCGGAGACTGGAGCACTGGATGCTCTAGTTCCTTTTTCGCTAGGTACCTTCCTCCTTGATGAGCTAATCAGTATTTTTCCTCCCTTCGCTTTCAGCCTCTGCTTATTCAGGTCTTATAACACTTTTATGTCCCAACTGTCCTTTTATCTGTGTTCTTTTTAATGTGTTTCTTTTCCAAGCAGCTGTACAGATGGTGTTGGGTGGGAGGAAGAGAAAATTCTTTGATAACATCAGAGAGGGGGCCCTGGTCTGGTCTCAGTGTCCAGTCAAAGAGTACCGATTACAGGGGACATCAGTCTTTGTCCTGAAAGCTCTGTACTGAAGCATTCTTGTTTGCTCTGTGAAATAGTAAATATACAGTTCCTCAGCACTGGAGGTGGTTTGATCAAAGTAAATTTTTAGAAACTCCAGGCTTTACCATCTAAAGATGTGCTAAAAAGTGAAAGACACTTTTTGCCCCCTATAGTTAGAACTTGGGCTGGATTTGTAAAATCATCATATAACCCAGGTAATACTTAAAAACTAGTATTTTTCTCCTTGAAAGCTTAGGCAGACTTCAAGGGAGCAGTGTCCTGGTTGTTAAAGGGAAGATGCATGACAAACTGATGCCGAGGAAGTGATGGATATGAAGCATAAGGAAAAATGCGTGAAAGAATTTTCTTCATTTCTCAGTAATTGCGGCATATGAAGCTGCTCCTGCTGAGGAAGTGAACATCCAGTTCCCCACAGGAATTGGAACTATGTAAGCAGTTACCAATTCTAGAAAAGAATTCTGTCTGCTGAAATTTTTGAACAAACTTCTACATATCTTCAGGATAACTGCTGTGTGTACCAGCACTTAAGTTCATGCTTGAACTACTTGTACAGAAACAGAACATTTCTCATAAAGCTTTGAATGAAAACATGCATAATTCATAGCTTGAGAACTAATGCAGTAATTTTCCAAATTCAGTGTTAATACACATGTATTACTGCATGTAAAGTTAGCTTATGCTTACAGTGCACACAAAGGTTGTGGCTGCTTTATTTCCACCCTAATCTGAAATTGCTATACATCAGTAATTAATGTCTTGAGCTTTCTATGGAAACAGTAATGTTCATGTCCTGAAATATAGAAATATTATTTCATGGAATTGCACTCTTCCTATTAGGACTCTTTCTTGTTAGTATAAATTTATTTCTTATACCTTGTTACTAATGTCCTTCATCCTCAAATTATTCTGTCAAATGAATGTCTACTTGTCGAATTTACAAGAATATTTTGAGACTTTGTAAGATGTTTTCAGCTGTCCAAACAAATGCACTGTAAGCTCAAACTACTTCTGCTCTTCTGCATAAGAGAATGTAACTTGTGGAAAAGTATTGTAGGGTTAGATATTATTTCGTAATGTGTACTGATGTTGCAGTGCTAGAAATGGGAGGTGGGAGGAGAATCCTGCTGGAATTTGGATTAAACTGTGTTTTTCTCCTTTTGTGGTGTAACTAGAGTTGCTGTTTCCTGATGGATAAACACTAAAGATGAGGATTTTCTTTTTAAACACCCTATGGATGAATCAAACTTTAAGTTTTTGGTTGTTTTTTTTTTTTTTCAAAAACTTTCTAACCTTTGCCAGTTTGGGGAATAACTTAGAGGGAGAAATTTTGCCACAATACTGTACTAGTTCTAGATAGACTTCCGTTTAGACATCTCAACTATAGAAAGTTATTTCTAGATGTGAATTGTCAAAAATAAATAGTCTATATACAGCTGTCTGCAACTCTTGCTTTTTGAATTGTAATATGAAGATGTAGCCAAGCACAGCATAGGCAGAAAGCTTTTTGTCCAATGTTAAACTGCTGTTCCTACAGCATTACGCTATACTTCAATTTATAGCTTTTATTTTGCCTGTATATGGGGAGTAGAATAAAAGCAAAGAAAAAGTTGCTCAAATATGTAACAAAATGCAGCTGCACGTGGTTCTCTAAGGTACCATTAGAGAAGCAGAGCTCTTAATCAAATTAGGTTCTTATTTCTGAGTCTCAAGCACCTTATACTTTTCTTTGAAAGACTTATGAACAGCTTGAAGATTCTTAAAACCACATTTAATTTCTTTGTTCTAGAAAGTAAAACTCTGGAATGATACTTATATTTGTTGGAAACTTTACATTTGTAGTCTGGAACTATAAGCAAAGTTGGTTTGTAGTCTTGATTTTGTTCCCAGTGTTGCAATATCTGAGCTTCAAACAACAGATAAATGTGGATTTTGCTTCTTTTTTTTTGCTTTTTGTTTTTCTTTTCTAAAACCATTTATTTTCAGAATTTTGAATCATCAAGCAGAGGGTGGCTTCCTGTTTTCAATGAGATGTTCTTTAGGGAGATATTTGTGAATGGAGAAAGGAATGTCTTCGTAATTCCACTGTACTCACTTCAGCCTCAAGAAATACTAGTTCTGCCGAACAACAAGCTCTACAGCTTCATTGTTTCAAGAAAGTTCACTGACACCAGGATTATGTTTTTACTTTGAGGTTGTGGCTGGGTGAACTACTTCATTTGAAAGACATTGGAATTTGTAATTAATTCATGTAATTTCTTTTGGATACCATAAACTTGTGGGGAGGGGGTATGTCTGCAATTTTGGATACAGAGTGAAATTATAGTAGAAAATTATAGTTCCTTCTTTGTTCAGTATATTTTACCTTTTCATATTCTGTGGCATTTTTACCTTCTAAATCTAGCAGGGAGGAGTCAGTAACTTCACTCCTGTACTAAGGACAAAAATCCACATGTGAAATCCCAGCTCTCAAACTGGGTTTACGGCTTGTAATGTGCCCAATGCAACAAAGACCCTTGGCACTACTGTCATGATTTTCAGACACAAATAAAATGACAGTTACAAATTTGTCTCTTTCCTTTTATTAAAAAGGGGGTTTAGCTGAGCTTTTTCAATAGGAGTAGGCATGGGGATCGATTTGTTTAGGGTAAGACCCCACAGGAAACATTAATTTGAGAGTCAAGACAGGTATTTTAACGCTAAGCAAGCACATAAACACTTTAGTTAAATACTTGAGATTGGTTTAAAGATTTCCTTACATTTAAATTGAAACAAAAAATGAAAAATTACATACTTCCAGGAATGTGTTACAACTGAGAAAACATGGGCTAAACGACGAGCTTTCTTCCTTCTCTTACAAAACAGCAAGGTATAGCGTAGGTTCCACAGTTTTCTTTGTACTGAGTGTAGTTGTGCTGCCGTCACACATGGCACAAGAACTTTGTTGGGCTCTTGCTTTTGATAGTTCCAAATTAAGCCTACAATTTTCTATATTCAGATGTCATGTATGCAGCTTAGCAATGCATTAGGGCAATTTATTTATGAGATGTCCGTATTAAAACAGATTTTCTAAAGTGTTGAGTTAGTTTACTTGTGTAATTTTAATCTAGTATATCCTGAAATAACTAACTTCACAGAAAGCTAGTAGGGAGCAGAGGAATCTTAGGCGTTGGCAGTAAACTTGCCACATTTCTGTGTTAGTTGTGCTAGCTGCTGAATTGCCTTTGCTTGTCCTGCCTGTAAGCGTGGAGCGTTACTACTCCTTGTGAGATTCTGGTATGGCTGCAGTTATGATGCAGTGTTGATGCAAATGCGTGAAACTTAAGATGGGTTTATAATTTTGAATTATAAATTTAAATTCAGACTCCTTTACATCATTCTAAAGGAACATTATATGTAAGAACTAACTGAAAAATTTACGTTCCTTTCTGCTTCTTGGAAGTGTAGGACGCTTCCATGAGACTTGAAGTTCTTTTCTTCTCCTTTTTTCCCTCCTCTTTTCCCCTGTTGGATAAATATGAAGTAGGATGCTATTCAAAAAATACTGCCTGAAAACACACCTCAGGGTTTGCCCCCTTACTGGAGCCAACTTTTGAAGCCTCTAAGGTGCTCCCCCCAACCTGTGTTTAAAGAAGTTGTACATACCAAGACAAGTTACCTTTGGGTTTGGTTATTTTTAATTAAAAAAAAAAAAAAGCA